CAACCCTGTTTCTGCGTCTCCTCAGATTGCAAGGAAGCCATTACTAGTAATTTAAGCAATTGGCTGAAGAGGAGAATACTGCCTTGGAAGACCATTTCTCACCCTTTCCAAAGCTGGATAGTTTGGCTCCACAAACTAAGCACAAATTGGAGGATTAGTTTGCAGGCCAGAATGGCCTTGAGGTGGCCACCTTCTTTGGATTTTTAATCATCTGCTTTATCTTTTAACATGGTGTGATTGTTTTTTTTTCTTATCACTGATGATTAAACCCCCCCCTTAAAAACAGTAAAGGGCCAATCTTATTATTTTAGTTATTACTGAGAAGCCTTGCACAATTCCGTGTCACAGAATTAATAATTGTCATGGTTCCGATAGATGAAACTCTTCAAAGAACTTTGAGGCACTGTTTAAAGAATCTTTATTTGAGAAGCATAGCATCGTCACTAACACGGTGGAAGCCAAAAACTGGATTCCCCTCCCCTGAACCTATAGTATCAAAGCACAATTCCCTCCTCCAATTAAAAGTCATAACTCATATTCTCCAATTAGTTTGAAGTGCAGGCTCTCCCTCCATTTCTCCAGCCCAGTTCTTATCATCTTTTATTTCATTAACCTTGGCTCATACACTGTCCAGTATTATTATGTCTATCTAAACTCTCATGCACAATCCTTCCGCCCCCAGCATCATCTAACTCTTGTCAAAGCAAAAACATCTGATGTTAGCAGCGTTGACATAATAGGATGACTATTTTGTTGTTGTTAATTGTGAAGTTGTGTCCGACCCATCGTGACCCCATGGACAACGTTCCTCCAGGTCTTCCTGTCCTCTACCATCTTCTGGAGTCCATTTAAGTTCACACCTACTGCTACAATGACTCCATCCAGCCACCTCATTCTCTGTCGTTCCCTTCTTCTATTGCCCTCAATCTTTCCCAGCATTAGGCCCTTCTCCAGTGAGTCCTTCCTTCTCATTAGGTGGCCAAAGTATTTGAGTTTCAACTTCAGAATCTGGCCTTCTAAAGAGCAGTCGGGGTTGATCTCTTCTAGGACTGACCGGTTTTAACGCCCTGCAGTCCAAGGGACTTGCAGGAGTCTTCTCCAACAACATAGTTCAAAGGCCTGCTCAGCCTTTCTTATGGTCCAACTTTCACATCCATACATTGCAACTGGGAAAACCATGGCCTTGACTATACGCACTTTTGTTGGCAGGGTGATGTCTCTGCTTTTTAGTATGCTGTCTAGATTTGCCATAGCTTTCCTCCCCAGGAGCAAATGTCTTTTAATTTCTTGGCTGCAGTCCCCATCTGAGGTGATCTTGGAGCCCAGGAAAATAAAATCTGTCACTACCTCCATTTCTTCCCCACCTATTTGCCAGTAATTGAGAGGGCCGGATGCCAGATATTAACACTGTGATCAACTTATTTTTATTATGCTTCTCTTACTTGAGTTGGAGGTTCAACCACTGTTTTAGCTCCACCATAACTACAAGTCAACTTTGTTCTATTCTTCCCTGTGAGGGAGACAGAATGTTAACATGCACAATTAATAAAATATCAGGAAGCCAAGAGAAGACAGAGAAGGTAAGACAGTTGGGATCTCTGTTGGGAATGGGAGGACCTATGATTACCATTTGAGGTGTTCTGACTTGGATCTTCCTGAGAGATCCTCCTGAAAAAAAATCTCTTGTGGAGGATTGGAGCTGACTCAGGAATTCTGGGAGTTGAAGTCCATGAGTCCTAAAAGAGCCAAGGTTGCCTACCCTGACCCTAACATGACCTTCTGATTCATGCAACTCCTATAAACAAGTTCCCCACATCTTAGCTTAATCCACCCTTTTTCAAACATAGACAAATAAAGAGGTTTGGACTTCAACTCCCAGACTTGAAAATAGCCAAGTTTGAGAAACACCGGCCTAATCGGGCACAGGGTGTGAATGCTGCGAATCAGCCCCATTTACACCTCCGTCCCTGCAACGTTTCCCTCCTTCGTCTGACGGCAGAGCCCCTTTGCAGTCGGGGGGAAAGGTTGGGAAGCAGCACCCCAGTCCCGGTCCTCGCACACGTGGCCCCAGACTTGCACCCAGAGCCGGCAGGAGGACTTCTGGCCAGCCTCCCCCCCAACACGCAGAGGCTCCCCCAGGAAATGGGGGAAACGGCCCCTCCCTTCGGGCGACCCCCATTTCTCTCCTTTGCTCCACCCCGCCCCCTTTCCTGGCCCCTGCATGGAAAAGGGCGGCATGGGAACATGGGACCCGGACTCCTACCCCGGGGGAAGACTTGGCCCGTCTCCACGCTCGCCTCCAGCGCGGCATCTCTTTGCACGCCGCCACTTATGGAACTCGGGAGTCTCGTCGCCACCCGCGTCCCCGCAAGGCTTCCCGGCAGCCTCTGCGCCTCCCGCAAAAGCCCCGACCCGCCACAACGGGGGAAGAAAGGCAAGACGCGCACCCAACCTCTTTTGGCAAGATCCTCGGGCAACACGTGCTTTGCGCCCGCGGAACAACCGGGCGCATGCTCAGTTCCCTCCTGCAGTTGAGAGCGCCCTCTAATGGATTCTGCGCGAAGTGCCAGCATTCCCGGCAAGGGCAGGAAAGAGGAGCGTATCTGAGGGGAAGGGGGGAACAGGGATGATGGGTATGGGAGTCCGAGGAAAGGCCTCTCTCAATGTTTCCCTGCCCCATAAAGGCTTCGACGTCTCCAGAGGCGGTAGTTTCTCCATCTTCTTTTCCTTCCTGTCCAGGAACCGTCTGTGGAGATGAAGAAAAATTTCTCTGGAGGATTTGAACTCGCTTCCCTCAAGAACAGCCGCCCTGAAGGCTCCGCAGAGATTGGAGGAGGCCTCAAAAGAGGCTAAATCCTGTCAGAAACGGCCAGGCGGTCAGAAAACGAGGAGCAGGAGCCTCTCTGGAAACACAATTTGTATCTTAACGGTTGTTGCAAACTCTGGCCTGAAGTGGAGTTAGATGGGACAGAGGCAGGGAAGCCACGACCAGGAAAATGGAGATTTCTAGTGATTTTTATTTCTATATTTCAATATATACAGCTGCCTTTCTCAAATTCGTGGCTCTGGGGACCTAACAATAATTGGAAAGACCGAGTGGCAGGTTGTGACCAAGAAATTAATGCTGAAAAAAAGGAAAAAACCAGCTCCAAAATAGAAAAAAAGCTCAAACTGGTGGATGTTGCAGAAATTTTACCTCATAGCAAAGCTCCTTGGAGGACAAATGAAGAGGGGGGGAAACGGCGTCTCATCTGTGACTGCAGAAAAAGTGGAATTGCAAAATGAAGGAAGGAAAAAATTGAAAGGGAATATAAAGCTCAAATACTGAGGGGAAAAAAAGAAATGTTTTATTCATGGGTTGAGTAGGGAATTGACCTCAGGAAATGTGACAAGGAAGCGTAAGAGAATTTAAGGCAAGGGAAAAATATTTAGATCATGAGTAAACAGAAAAAAGAAATAAAAAAGCGAAAGAACTTTGATTTCAGGCATAAGACTTGAAGATACCACTAGTTTGAAAAGATTTGTTTGCATTTGGAGCTCACAATGTGTGTGGGGAGGGAGATCGACGACAATGAGTGAAAAACTAAATGGAGGGGAAGTGTTTAAAAAGCAGTTTTGAAAGAATGGAGTTAATTTTTTTTATTTAGTTAATTTATTTATTATCTTTATTTCTTTGTTCTTCAGTTTGACCTGGAACCATTAATGAGCAATATTTGAATAAACATTTTCAACCCAGCAGGATCCTCTGAAAGTCTAAAATATGCCTCCCAATCAAAACTTTCAAACATATTGTGTCAATTTTTAAGACAACCAAGAGAAAGATAACATATTTGTTTACCCACAGCATCAAATGTAGACTTTTTCTTAGCCCTTGTCACACCATAGAAAGGAAGAAGAGCCCCAATGCTTGAGAAAAAAAAGTCTTTTGCACATCTATTTCAGGGGCTTCTCATCATTCTGGCTCCTTTTTTGAGAGGAATTTTCTTCCTGAAACTCTTTTCACATACTACTATTTGATTATTGTCTAACATCATGAGAGTCCTTTGACCAAAAAAGGTTCCCTGCTTCTGCATTCATAGTGGCTGACTCAGGTCTCTGTTCTTCACAGTAGAAGCAAGTTGGACCAGTTTATTGTATCTTAGAATAGAATAACAGAGTTGGGACTTCGTAGGTCATCTAGTCCAGGAGTCCCCAACCCCCAGTCTGTAGACTGGCACCGGTCTGCAGCATGCCAGCAACTGGGCCATGCAAACAAGTGAAGCCCCATCCACGGGATGCAGGCAGCACATGAAACCATGCCCCCTCCGGTCAGCGGAAAAAACCTCTCTCCATGGAACCGGTCCCTAGTGCTCAAAAGGTTGGAGGCCGCTGATCTAGTCCAACCCCCCCCACCCAAGCAGGAGACCCTACACCATTTCTGACAGATGGCAGTCCAGTCTCTTCTTGGAAGCTTCCAGTGATGAAGCTCCCACAACTTCTATAGGCAATCTGTTCCATTGGTTGATTGTTCTGTCAGAAAATTTCTTATTTCTAGGTTGAATCTCTTCTTGATCAGTTTCCATCCATTATTCTTTGGTCAGGAAGGACTGAAGTAATTTTTCTGAAGTAATTTTTATTAATTTCATCTGGTCCCCACAGATTTCCAAAGATCTTCCTCCTTGCTTGATCACTTGTAATGTCAGCACACTGGAGTTGTTTTCATTCTCATCCTCTTGAGTATCCCTAACTTGGGAGCAAAAGAAAAACAAAAAAGGAAAGAATTGTAAACTTATGAAAAAGAAGGAAAGTTTAAACCATGGGAAGTGTCTGTGGATCAGTTGAATTTTTACCTGCGTATCTGTTATAGTGGAAGAAAGACTAATCGAGCTTTGTCTTGAAGAGATGTATCCAAGAAATGCAGTTCCTTCTGCTGCCTGAGGAAGCAGCACCTATTATAAACCTATCAAGAACCATGATCAACTGGAAACTAGGATAAATGTAAACTTAAAAAAAATATTTTATTGATGTGCAATAGCAACAGCCACTTTCAAATGGCAGTACTTTCAAAAATCCACTGTTCATAATTATGAAATCAACTTTCTTACAGTCAAAGACGCGCATAAAGAGGGTTGGATACACTCAATTAAGCATAATTATTTAAAAGTTAACATACGGTAATTAAAACAGACATACCCATGCTTTTTTTCCCCATTGGTTAATTCATCTCCCTGGTACCATCAGCTGTGAGGGTCAGACTTAAAACTGTAGCTTCATTAGTTCAGCATACACAAATTGGAAATGCAGATTTAATCAAATCAAAAATTTACATAGATTCTCACCCAAATGGATCTGTGTATGGGAAATTAGGTCATTCGTTGTCTTGAAACTCTTTCCACATTCTTCGCATTTATACTGCTTGTTCTCCGTGTGGGTTCTTTTATGTCTCATAAGAGATGACTTTTGACAGAAACCCTTTTCACACTCCATGCATTTATATGGCTTCTCTTCTGTATGGATCCTTTTATGTCTCATAAGAGGTGCACTTTCACAGAAGCCCTTTCCACACTCCATGCATTTATATGGTTTATCGCCTGTGTGGATTCTTTTATGGGAAGTAAGATTACTGCTTTGAGTAAAAGTCTTTCCACATTCCATGCATTTATATGGCTTCTCCCCTGCATGGATTCTTTTATGAGAATTAAGATTACTACTAGTACTAAAACCCTTTCCGCACTCCAAGCAGTTGTATGGTTTTTCCCCAGTGTGGATCCTTATATGTTTTGTAAGGGATGCATTTTCAGAAAAGCTCTTTCCACACTCTGGGCATTTATAAGGTCTCTCCCCACTGTGCATCCTTTCATGGGAGGTAAGATTACCCTGTTGACTGAAGGCCTTTCCACACTTCACACATTTATATGGCTTCTCTCCTGTGTGGATCCAGTTATGGGAAGTAAGTTGGCTGCTATTAGTGAAGCTCTTTCCACACTCCATGCATTTATATGGCTTCTCCCCTGCATGGATCCTTTTATGGGAATTAAGATTACTACTAGTACCAAAGCCTTTTCCACACTCAAAACAATTATATGGTTTTTCCCCCGTGTGGGTCCTTTTGTGCTTCGTAAGTGATGCATTTTCAGAGAAGCTCTTTCCACACTCTCGACATTTGTAAGGCCTCTCTCCACTGTGCATCCTTTCATGAGAAGTAAGATTACCCTGTTGACTGAAGGCCTTTCCACACTCCACACATTTATATGGCTTCTCTCCTGTATGAATTCTTTTATGGGAAATAAGTACACTCTTTTTAGTAAAGTTCTTTCCACACTCCATGCATTTATATGGTTTCTCCCCTGTGTGGATTCTTTTATGGAAAGTAAGGGAACCACACCTACTGAAACTCATTCCACACTCTCTACATTTATATGGCTTCTCCCCTGTGTGGATCCTTTTATGGGAAGTAAGATGACTGCTCTGAATGAAGGTCTTTCCACACTCTCTGCATTTATATGGCTTTTCCCCTGTGTGGATCCTTTCATGTTTCAGAAGGGATGCATTTTCACAGAAGCCCTTTCCACACACACTGCATTTATATGGCTTTTCCCCTGTATGGATCCACTTATGGGAAGTAAATTGACTGCTTCTTCTGAAACTCTTCCCACACTCCAAACATTTATATGGCTTCTCTCCTGTGTGGATCCTTTTATGGATAGTAAGAGACCCATTTTCACAGAAGCTTTTCCCACAGTCCATGCATTTATATGGCTTCTCTCCTGTGTGAATGTTTTTTTGAGATGTACCCGGTCTATTTGTATGACAAAAACTCCAAGTCCAATTGAATTTTTTTCCATTGTCCCTATACGCCTGATCTTCTCCTTTGGTTTGGATTGGACAGTGTTCATTTACATCTAATTCATTTTTGAATTGTCGTATGTGTTTCTCAAAATATTTTTTCTTCATTTTCCTTTGTTGGGCAAGAAAGTCTTTCATCAGAGCCTCAATCGAAGATAAGCTTTCCTGATTCCAATTCTTTAGTTGTTTTTTCTCATGGTTTTCTAGTTGCATTTGCATTGCAGGCTTCTGTGTNCCTATCTATCTATCTATCTATCTATCTATCTATCTATCTATCTATCTATCTATCTATCTATCTATCTATCTATCTATCTATCTATCTATCTATCATCTTAATGTGAAAAAGAAAATACACCCTCTTTTTGTTCTATGCTTTTACCTATCAGGACGTAATAAAAATCACCTGGTCCTTAGCAGTTCTTAAAAGTAGTTAAATACAATCTCAGATGAATATCACATGGCATATTACACCATGCCATCATTTATTTTACAAAAGGAAAGCCAAAACAGAGAAGCCATATGTGGGGGGAAAAAGCACACTCTATGATTTAATAGCATGTAGATTCAGAACCACCTTTAGCAGCAATAACTGGAGGTAATCATTTTCTGTATGACTTTATCAGTCTCTCACACCACGGTGGAGAAATTTCGGCCCACTCTTCTTTACAACACTGTTAACAGTTCATTGAGGTTTATGGGCATCTGTTTCTGCACAGCTCTTTTGAGGTTCTGCCACAGCATTTCAATTGGGTTGAGGTCTGGACTTTAACTAGGCCATCGCAACACCTTGATTCTTTTTCACCCATTCTGTTGGAGATTTGCTGGTGGACTTGGGATCGTTGTCCTGTTGCATGACTCAATGTCAACCAAGCTTTAGCTGTCAAACAGATGGCCTCCCATTTGACTCTAGAATACTTTGGTATACAGAGGAGTTCATAGGCAACTCAATGACTGCGAGGCTGCGAAACAAGCCCAAATTTCTCTGAGCATTGCTCAGTGAATTGGGGTGAATTTGCTGGGATGTCCACTGGGAAAATTGGCAAATGTCTTGAAAGTTTTATATTGGTGAATAACCTCCCTCACTGTAGAATGATGGACTTTAAATTGTTTGGAAATAGCCTTACAACCCTTCCCAGGTTGATGGGCAGCAACAAATTCTCTTCTAAGATAACTGCTGATGTCTTTATTCTTTGGCATTTTGTTAACATATACCACAACACTGGAGACCAGCAAATTCATAAAGAGATAGTCATGTGGCCAGTGTGACTATATGCCAAAGCACATAGAACACTGTTACCTTCCCACTAAAGTGGTACCTATTTATCTTTTTGCATTTGCATGTTTTCAAACTGCTATATTAGCAAGATACTTTCTAGCATTTCAGAAAAAGGCTTATGGTGTCTCCAGAAAGAACAATCCTGTCCATGCTCAACACCTTCATGAAAGTGCTGGGAAAATTCAGCCAGGCTTTTAAGTAGGGTTTCTTCAATATTTAGAGCCACACAATTCTATATTCTTCTCCTCATTTATTATAAGGAAGCCATTACTACTAGTCTAAGCCATCACAGCTGAATGGGAGATAAGATAGGGGAGAAAATTTTGCGGGAAGGATAATTTTCAGGCTGTGCAAAGCTGGATTGTTTGGCCTTCAAATCCAGGCACAAATCGGAGGATTAGAAATTACTCTGCAAGCCAAAGGTGTCTTGATAATGTGCTCTTGTACGACAATATTTATTTAAAAGACTATTCCACCTGGCCACCTTTATAGATTTTTAATAGTCTACTTTATTTTTCAGTTTCATGCACTTATTTTTGTTCTCACTTGTGATAAAAAAAGGCTTTAAATTTTTTTTAAAGTAGTTATTTTTCAGCAATCTTGGCCAATTCTAAACTAAAGAACAAAAAGAAGGACTCTATTCAGTAGGTGTACGGCTATAATAAAGTTATATATTAAATTATTATAAATTTTAATAGTAGAAAGAGTAACTAGAAAAACGATATTTAACGGCTAGCCTTGAAAAATATTTCCTAGTAATAATCTAAGAATAGAAATTACGAACCACCAGATCCAAACAAACAACTTCAAAGAAAACTAAGCTGACTGATAGCAACTTGAATCTTCTATTCCCCTTTCCATTTGCTCAGGAAAACAAAAATAATCCAGCCCAAACAACTGTAAGGAGAAAATGCTTTGTACATCAGTTTCACTTCCTGAAGAAAAGGGAAAATATAATTCTAAAAAATTAATTTCCCCCTCTTACTTGATTTGGAGGTTCAACCACTGTTTCATCTCCATCATAAAAAGCAGACAACTTCATTTGACCCTTCCCTGTAAGGGATACAGAATTTTAAATTACGTAACTAAAGGAATAGGATGAGATCTTCTATATGATAGAAGACATAAAGAAGATGAGACAGCTGGAATGTCTCTGGGTAACGGGAAGACCTGGGATTACCTCCTGAGATGTCCTGACTTGGATTTTCTTTAGGGATCCTCCTGAAAGGCATCTCCTGAGAAGGATTTGATGGATTCCTTCTTCCCTCACGATCTCTGATCTCCACCACAAAGGACTTGAAATAGGAGGCAAGAAAAAAGAAGCAGAATTAACGGACATCCCACACCATGGATTATTGTTCTCTGAACACAACTTCAAAGTCCCCAACGTCAACAAGGAGGAAGTAAAGAAAGGAACTTTCTTTAATGAATGAAACAACAGCAAGAAAACAAGCAAGCTCAGGAAGCACAAATGACTCATTTCAACCCTGAGCTATAAATATTCTTTATTGGTAATTTATCTACTACAATGGACAATGGAACAATGTCCTACACCAGTGATGGCGAACCTTTTAGAGACCGAGTGCCCAAAAATTGGCCCCGCCCCTGCTCCACTCCCTGCCCCGCCCCATCCCCCGCCCCACCTGCCCGCAGGGCCACTCACCGCCTCCAGGGCCCGCCACAGATCGCCCAGGCAGCCCAGCAGCGCTATGGCGGTCACACCCTCTGCCCTCGCCCTGCAGCATCAACTGTGCACGATGGGGTGTGAGGGCAGTCTTGTCTATGCTGCCTGGCTGCCATGTCCTTGGGTGCGCTGCTCCGCATTGGCCACGCTCAAGGGTGACTCTCCTTCAGGGGGGCTGCTGGAGAGGAGGGGGTCGCAGGGGGAGGCGAGGCTGGGGCAACAGCACGTGTGCCCACAGAGAGGGCTCCGAGTGCTGCCTCTGGCACCCGTGCGATAGGTTCGCCACCACTGTCCTACACGAATTAGTGTGATATATCCACATTTTATGAGTGCAAGAGACTCTAGAACAGCGGTTCTCAACCTGTGGGTCGCGACCCCATTTGGGGTCGCACGACCATTTCACAGGGGTCGCCAAACAACGCCGTCCGCCATTTTTTTTTACCCTTTTCCTTAGCTGTGCTACTCCCTCTGCTTGGCGGCAGCCTGCATGCAGGAACTTTACCAAACATGCCCTGCAGGAGGCGTGTGAAGAGCGCAGGNTCTATCTATCTATCTATCTATCTATCTATCTATCTATCTATCTATCTATCTATCTATCTATCTATCTATCTATCTATCTAATCTATCTATCTATCTATCTATCTATCTATCTATCTATCTATCTATCTATCTATCTATCTATCTATCTATCTATCTATCTATCTATCTATCTATCTATCTATCTATCTATCTATCTATCAATCATCTTAATGTGAAAAAGAAAATACACCCTCTTTTTGTTCTATGCTTTTACCTATCAGGACATAATAAAAATCACCTGGTCCTTAGCAGTTCTTAAAAGTAGTTAAATACAATCTCAGATGAATATCACATGGCATATTACACCATGCCATCATTTATTTTACAAAAGGAAAGCCAAAACAGAGAAGCCATATGTGGGGGAAAAAAGCACACTCTATGATTTAATAGCATGTAGATTCAGAACCACCTTTAGCAGCAATAACTGGAGGTAATCATTTTCTGTATGACTTTATCAGTCTCTCACACCACGGTGGAGAAATTTCGGCCCACTCTTCTTTACAACACTGTTAACAGTTCATTGAGGTTTATGGGCATCTGTTTCTGCACAGCTCTTTTGAGGTTCTGCCACAGCATTTCAATTGGGTTGAGGTCTGGACTTTAACTAGGCCATTGCAACACCTTGATTCTTTTTCACCCATTCTGTTGGAGATTTGCTGGTGGACTTGGGATCGTTGTCCTGTTGCATGACCCAATGTCAACCAAGCTTTAGCTGTCAAACAGATGCCCTCCCATTTGACTCTAGAATACTTTGGTATACAGAGGAGTTCATAGGCAACTCAATGACTGCGAGGCTGCGAAACAAGCCCAAATTTCTCTGAGCATTGCACGGTCTGACCTTGGGGTGAATTTGCTGGGATGTCCACTGGGAAAATTGGCAAATGTCTTGAAAGTTTTCTATTGGTGAATAACCTCCCTCACTGTAGAATGATGGACTTTAAATTGTTTGGAAATAGCCTTACAACCTTTCCCAGGTTGATGGGCAGCAACAAATTCTCTTCTAAGATAACTGCTGATGTCTTTATTCTCTGGCATTTTGTTAACACATACCACAACACTGGAGACCAGCAAATTCATAAAGAGATAGTCATGTGGCCAGTGTGACTACTTTATATGCCAAAGCACATAGAACACTGTTACCTTCCCACAAAAGTGGTACCTATTTATCTTTTTGCATTTGCATGCTTTCAAACTGCTATATTAGCAAGATACTTTCTAGCATTTCAGAAAAAGGCTTATGGTGTCTCCAGAAAGAACAATCCTGTCCATGCTCAACACCTTCATGAAAGTGCTGGGAAAATTCAGCCAGGCTTTTAAGTAGGGTTTCTTCAATATTTAGAGCCACACAATTCTATATTCTTCTCCTCATTTATTATAAGGAAGCCATTACTACTAGTCTAAGCCATCACGGCTGAATGGGAGATAAGATAGGGGAGAAAATTTTGCGGGAAGGATAATTTTCAGGCTGTGCAAAGCTGGATTGTTTGGCCTTCAAATCCAGACACAAATCGGAGGATTAGAAATTATTCTGCAAGCCAAAGGTGTCTTGATAATGTGCTCTTGTAGGACAATATTTATTTAAAAGACTATTCCACCTGGCCACCTTTATAGATTTTTAATAGTCTGCTTTATTTTTCAGTTTGATGCACTTATTTTTGTTCTCACTTGTGATAAAAAAAGGCTTTTAAAATTTTTAAAGTACTTATTTTTCGGCAATCTTGGCCAATTCCAAACTAAAGAACAAAAAGAAGGACTCTATTCAGTAGGTGTACAGCTATAATAAAGTTATATATTAAATTATTATAAATTTTAATAGTAGAAAGAGTAACTAGAGAAACGATATTTAACAGCTAGCCTTGAAAAATATTTCCTAGTAATAATCTAAGAATAGAAATTACGAACCACCAGATCCAAACAAACAATTTCAAAGAAAACTAAGCTGATTGATAGCAACTTGAATCTTCTATTCCCCTTTCCATTTGCTCAGGAAAACAAAAATAATCCAGCCCAAACAAGAGGAACAACTGTAAGGAGAAAATGCTTTGTACATCAGTTTCACTTCCTGAAGAAAAGGAAAAATATAATTCTAAAAAATTAATTTCCCCCTCTTACTTGATTTGGAGGTTCAACCACTGTTTCATCTCCATCATAAAAAGCAGACAACTTCATTTGACCCTTCCCTGTAAGGGATACAGAATTTTAAATTATGTAACTAAAGGAATAGGATGAGATCTTCTATATGATAGAAGACATAAAGAAGATGAGACAGCTGGAATGTCTCTGGGTAACAGGAAGACCTCGGATTACCTCCTGAGATGTCCTGACTTGGATTTTCTTTAGGGATCCTCCTGAAAGGCATCTCCTGAGAAGGATTTGATGGATTCCTTCTTCCCTCACGATCTCTGATCTCCACCACAAAGGACTTGAAATAGGAGGCAAGAAAAAAGAAGCAGAATTAACGGACATCCCACACCATGGATTATTGTTCTCTGAACACAACTTCAAAGTCCCCAACGTCAACAAGGAGGCAGTAAAGAAAGGAACTTTCTTTAATGAATGAAACAACAGCAAGAAAACAAGCAAGCTCAGGAAGCACAAATGACTCATTTCAACCCTGAGCTATAAATATTCTTTATTGGTAATTTATCTACTACAATGGACAATGGAACAATGTCCTACACCAGTGATGGCGAACCTTTTAGAGACCGAGTGCCCAAAAATTGGCCCCGCCCCTGCTCCACTCCCTGCCCCGCCCCCACCCCCCGCCCCACCTGGCCGCAGGGCCACTCACCGCCTCCAGGGCCCGCCGCAGATCGCCCAGGCAGCCCAGCAGCGCTATGGCGGTCACACCCTCTGCCCGCGCCCTGCAGCATCAACTGTGCACGATGGGGTGTGAGGGCAGTCTTGTCTATGCTGCCTGGCTGCCATGTCCTTGGGTGCGCTGCTCCGCATTGGCCACGCTCAAGGGTGACTCTCCTTCAGGGGGGCTGCTGGAGAGGAGGGGGTCGCAGGGGGAGGCGAGGCTGGGGCAACAGCACGTGTGCCCACAGAGAGGGCTCCGAGTGCTGCCTCTGGCACCCGTGCGATAGGTTCGCCACCACTGTCCTACACGAATTAGTGTGATATATCCACATTTTATGAGTGCAAGAGACTCTAGAAAGAGTACAGAGAAGAGCAACAAAGATGATTAGGGGACTGGAGGCTAAAGCATATAAGGAACGGTTGCTGGAATTGGGTATGTCTAGTTTAATGAAGAGAAGGACGAGGGGGGACATGATAGCAGTGTTCCAATATCTCAGGGGCTGCCACAAAGAAGAGGGTGTCAAGCTATTTCCCAAGGCGCCTGAAGGCAGGACAAGAAGCAACAGGTGGAAACTAAGCAAGGAGAGATGCAACCTAGAACTAAGGAGAAACTTCCTGACAGTTAGAACAATTAACCAGTGGAACAACCTGCCTTCAGAAGCGGTGAATGCTCCAACACTGGAGGTTTTTAAGAAGAGACTGGACAGCCATTTGTCCGAAATGGTATAGGGTTTCCTACCTGAGCTAGATGACCTCCAAGGTCCCTTCCAACTTTACTATTATTATTATTAATTCTTTATTCACTCCCAAGATGAAGGTCTCTCACCTGCAACTCACCCTGCTCCTTCTGCTCTTCCACCTGGCTCAAGAGGAAGCCTTCAGCCAGGGCCACCGCCTGGGAGCTGGTCTCTGCTCCACACTCTCGCACCCAGCTCTCCACCTCTGGGGAAAGAAGGACCAGCAGCTGCTCCAGAACCACCAGGTCCAGCATCTGTGCTTTAGTGTGTCTTTCTGGTCTCAGCCATTGCCTACAAAAGTCGTGGAGTCGGCTGCAAAGTCCTCGGGGACCCTCAGCCTCCTGGTATTGGAGGTGCCTGAAGTTCCAGGGCTGAAATTCTGAATAGATTATGGCTTCCTCCTCCACGATCTTCTGCCCAGTTCTTGCCCAGATCTCCTCACAGCACCCAGGCTGAGTAGCTGAAAGACCTTTTCCAATTCTCTCACTTCCTAAAGGTTGTGTCTCCATTCTTTCTCTGTCCTGTAACACAACTCCAAAAGTGCCCAAGGAATCTTGTAGATCTGCAAATGTCTTTTCATTCATAGGACCGTTTCTACAGCCACTGGAATAACCATAGGCGGCCATTCAGCACTCTTTTCTCAAGGGATAATTTTAAATGCCAAGAAGTTCAAATGGCTTCCAGTTTCTGTATCTGAGATGGAAAAGAAAATAAGTAAATAAACTCCAAGAATAAGAAAGTGGAGACTTTAACCATTGAACAACAGTCATCTCCGCGGAAGGAAGTATTTTTCTAAACTGGAATAGGATTGCAGTGGTGTTGAGCAGATAGATCCAGTTTTTGTGCATGTACATGTATATTTGTATGAGTATGGTACACTATTTTTTTTGTATATGGAAGGGCTTCCATTTTCAAACCTAAATCTACATTTACCTCCGAGGAGTATTCATACAACCTGCCAAACACCAAACAGGTGAAGAAACAATGGAAGCTCAGTTCACATGAACTGAGAAAATGACTGTTCTGAAGATGCCCCCTTTCCCTTTTTCAGAGTGGCCTTTAGAGATCCGAGTCTCCCTCTGAGAGGCAGGCAGGTTCACACAATATTGTCTCCTCCTAGGCCGGCCACTCTCCTCTCCGGCTGGGCCTCTGCCAGGCGGACCCTCCCCTCCCCCCACTTGGGCTCTTCTTCCCTGGACACGGGGCGGGAAGGAACTCCCGGATCCCAGCCGCCTTCCCCGGATTCCCTGTTCTTCTGCAGCTATTGCTGCTCTGGAGCTCCGCTTCCCCCCCTGCACGGAAGGGGCGGCTGGGGAACATGGGACCTGGGATCGGATCCGGAGAAGGGCCGGGCCCGGGGCTCCCCCTCTTCCGCCTCCCTTTGCATGGGAAGAGTCCCCCCACCTAAGACGCGTGTGAATCTCTTCCTCCGCGAGACTGTCTCACAACCTCTTCGCCTTCCGCGGAGCTCCAGGGATTGAGGAGAGCGAGTGCGGCGTCCTAGAGCGGCAAGTATTTATAATGCCACGCCTCCTCTGCCAGGCCAGCTGTCACGTTTGCCCTCCAGTGGACCAATGGGAAAGCCGTTTAAATTTGCTTACCCAATGGGGAAACACCCGGTTTTCCCCTCCTTTGGCAGAGGGCGCCGCCTGTCGGATTCTGCGCAAAGTGCCAGGATTCCCCGAAAGGGCGGGAATGGGGAGAGCATCTGAGGGGAAGGGAGAGGGCAGGGATGATGGGCATGGGAGTGGGAAGAAAGAGACTTCCCAAAGGTTGCTTGTCCGAAAACGGTTGCGGCGTCTCATGAGGGAGGAAAAATTTCCGATCAGGAAAATTAAAGTTTCTGACGGTTTTTATTTCTTCAATATATACAGCTGCTCTTGTCAAATTCTCGGCTCTGTGTGCCTAAGAATAATTGGAAAGACCGAGTGGCAGCTTGCGACAAAGGAAATAATGCTGAAGGAAAACAAATATCGAAAGAAAATCACTTCCAAAATGAGGGAAAAGCTGGAACTGGTGAATATTCCAGAAGTTTTACCTCACAAAGAGGCTCCTTGGAGAAATGAAGAGAGGGCAAATGGCGTCTGGTCTGTGACTGGAGAAAAGGTGGAAATTCAAAATGAAGGAGGTCAAGTAGTGAAAAAGGAGGAAAAAAGAACAAAAATCTATTTTACTTTTGAGTATGGAATTTACCTCATAGGGAAATATGAGTTGGAAACTTAAGATCATTATAGAATTTAAGGCAACTGGAAGCATCTGGTCTTCCCTTATCTTCACTCAGGTGGATACCGTGCAGTGCGCAGAGAAGAACAAAGATGATCAGGGGACTGGAGGCTAAAACATACGAAGAACAGTTGCAGGAACTGGGCATTGCTAGTCTAGTGAAGAGAAGGACCAGGGAAGACATGGTAGCAGTCTTCCAATATTTGAGGGGCTGTCACAGAGGAAGGGATCAACCTATTTTCCAAAGCACCTAAAGGTCGGACAAGGAATAATGGATGGAAACTGATCAAGGAAAGATTCAACCTAGAAATAATGAGAAAGTTTCTGACAAAACAATCCATGGAACAGATTGCCTTCAGATGTTGGGGTTTCATCATTGGAAGTTTTCAAGAAGAGACTGGACTGCCATCTGTCAGAAATGTAGGGTCTCCTGCTTGGGTGGGGTGTGTGTGTTGGATTAGATGACCTACAAGATCTCTTCCAACTCTCTTATTTGAATTCTGTGTGCAATGCAGGCGTTCATGCAGAGAAAGGGAGCATTTAAACGGGGCACAGCAAGGAGGACCCCCCCCCCCAGTTCAGGAAACTTTCTCAATATAACTTTTTTTTCAACTTTAAACCCATCTTCACCATTCTATTTCTAAGAATGTTTCTGGAGAAGGTTACATCCCTGCTTAGAGGGAGGGAAGGAAGAGCCAGGAAATGATATTCAGCAGTATTTTGTAGAAGATAATCCTACTTTTTCTAAACTGGTATTAGGATTGCCATGGCATTGAACTGTCAAGTCCTTTGTGTGTTTCTGTTATACAGAATTGTAGGCTTTATTATTAGCTTTTCCCCAGTAATTTTATTGAAGATTATATTATACAAGGTATATTGTACAGTATGTTAAAAACAAAACTGCAGAAAAAATATAAAAACAATTTTCCTTCTTTTAGTCCCCAGCATGTATAATCAATATTAATGACTTATCACTTTTAAAATTCAGCTAAACACTTATTCATTCCATACCTCACCTTATTCCCCATAAGTCCATCTCTAAATACTTATCTCTTCATGTTAATCAGTAAAAGACCAATAAGAGTTATCTGAAATAATAACATAGATATTACGAACTATATTACAGGTAGTCCTCCATCTGCAACAGCAATTTGGGACCAAAATTTCCATCTTTACGTGATCTCTAGACATTACTGCATCTTTTAGCAACAGCAGTTCCAGCAGTCCTGCTTGCCATTGTTAACTGAGTCTAATGGTCCTGAAGTGTGGCAACTTCGTGCTGGATTCCCACAACCAAAGTCAGTGGAGAATCCTGCAGGAAGTTGTGAGTCACAGGCAACTCATGAGCAGGCCAACCAGCATACTCTCCCCTCAGTGTGGTGCCATTTGTGCACCCTTACATTCCCTGAATAGAACATTTCTTGCATATCCCTACACCTACACCACATTTCTCATGCATCCACCTTGACTCTTCCCTACACTCCCACTCAGCCCCTTGCTCCTTCCCCCACTTATTTTGCCCACTTGGGGGATTTCACTGGAGAAAGCAATTATGTTTGGAAGAGTTAGCAGTAAAAGAAAACCAGGCCACCAAAGACAACAGTGGCTGAATATCAATACTGACAATCACCCAGAGCATAAAACAACTAAAAAAAAAGTGCAAGATTGGAAGATGTGGAGAGATCTGGCCCATAGAAACACCCAACAACTGAATGGATAATATCACCATCAGCAAATGAGGGTGGAAAAGCAGATGGTAACAAGATTAAACAGAGGAAGAAAAAATGAATCTACAGAGGGGATAGAGCAGGGGTGTCAAACTTCCGCCCCACGGGCCAGATGCATCATGCCAAAACCGCGCACTCCCCAACTCCAGCAATGGGGGGAAAGTTGCGATACATTGCAACACGATAGAGGATTGAATGGGATAGAGGATTGAATGAATCTCTGCCTGCAAATTCCTGCTATAGAGGAAGGAATAATGATCAAGTTTTGTCTTATTAAGACACACCAGGTATATATTAATCAGATAGAGCTCCTTCAACTGATTGGGGTATTTGCCCTTGTTAATTATTGGCCCAGTTACATCACTGTGAGGCCAGTTCATGTCTTTATCTCCACAGAACCTCATTTTTGTTTTGATATCTCTCTCTTAGCAAAAATCAAAATCTCATTTTCACAAGGGAGGAAGGAAAAAAAGTTAAAGCGCAAATCTTAGTTGTCACTTTTAGTATCACCATTATTCAATGGGCAGTTCAATACAGGTAATCCTAGACTTAGGACTGGTTGTTTAGTGAACTTTGGAACCCCCAGAAGCTACTCACAATCCAGTTACAATGGCTGCCTCCCCAAAATCATGTGATCACATTCTGGGCACTTGGCAATCAGCTCACCTTATGGCCTTTTGTAGCATTCCATGGTCACATAATTGTGATTTTTGATGTTTTTGCTGGTTTCTACTAGTTGGCTGGCTAAAATGGATTCACTTAATGATTACTCTTTGCTTAATGACAAGTGCCCCCAAAAAACAACACCCCACAACAGTTTGGGCATGTGATGACATGACTAAAATGTAATTATGTACAACCATAATTCCAGGCTCAATTACAGTCATAAATCAAGGACTATCTTATCACATTCCATTTCTCTGTATATTTTGATGGAACTTGAGTTCCCTTTGGATTGTAATATCCCTACAGACCACGGAAACCTTCTCCTGTACCTTTGCCAACTTGTGAGAACAAAGAAGTATACAGTCGTTTGATAAACTGAATGTATTGAGGAAGAGGAAAACAATTATAAGATGACTAGGCAAAAGAAGGAAATTTTAAATTATGGGAAGTGTCAGTTAAATTTCTATCTGCTTGTCTACTATAATGGAATAAACATAGTAAAGCTTTCTTTTGAACAGCTGCATCAGGGAGATGCATCTCCTTCTATTGCCTGGGGAGGCAGCACCTGTTAAATGACTGCCTGTTCGTATCCTTCTTAGAACCAGGATCAAGTGGGAAGAGCAAATAATTAACAGTAAATACTGTAGTGAGTCTTGTTAAGGAACAAGGAAATTCACATGTAAAAACACAATAAAGGCAACATCTTTCATAAAATTGCATGGCTCTCAATCTAAGATACTTAAAGTGGCCATTTTCTTGGAAGTGACCTCTAACTAGAGCCTGCAATAAACATGAATTTAAGAAAAAATAATTCAGTTACTGATGTGGAATTGATACACAGGACCCAAAGCAAATAATCAAGAATCATTGCAGTAATTACTGATAATAGTGCACATTGGAGGAATTCCTTCTGGAAAAGAGTGGCATACCTGCAGGCAAAAGGATGCACTATATTTAGAAAATTTCAGAAGGGATGAGAAAATGATAGAGTCATGCATATGCATAAGTAACAGATGATTTAAGCATAAATATTCATAATTAACAAACCTCAAGTCTTCGCTCTACTGTACGTTCTTCAATAATTATTGCCTTAATGAAAAACATCAGTTATGCTGCCATATAAATGCTGATAAGACTTTATTTTGTGTATTTTTGTATGATTTTCTTTGTATCCTGTATATTGTATTTGTGTTTTTAATATGCTGTGAACCGCCCTCAGTCCTACGGGAGAAGGGCGGTATACAAATTAAATTAACCTTAACCTTAACCTTAACCTTACTGAGAACGAGTGTTCTATGTTTCATTTTGCTAACAAGTTCCACTCATAAAAATTTGTTTTCCTCACAATGTGCAATAGCGTTGACAACTTTCAGATGACAATGCCTTATGACCATTTTTCACACAACCATTGCAGCATCCCCCTGGTCATGTGATCAAAATTCAGATGCTTGGCAACTGACTCATATTTATGACAGTTGCAGTATCCTAGGATCATCTTTTTGTGACCTTCTGACAAAAGTCAATAGGAAGCCAGATTCACCTAACAATGGTGTTTGTAACTTAACAACTGCAGCAATTCACTTAACAAATATGGCAAAAAAGGTCATACAATGGGGTAAAATTCACTTGTGTCTCACTTAGCAACAAAAATTTTGGGCTCAATTACGGTCATACGTTGAAGATGACCTGTATTCATAATTAAAACAGCATGTGCCCATTCTTTTTATTTTCATTTGTAAATTCATCTTTCTGTGGCTCCCATTTTTGAGGATCAGATTCAAAAATATCTTCCTTTCCTAGTTTAGTATATGACAATAGAAAATGCATAGATATTCCCCTATTTATGAACAGGTTATGTTCTGAGAAGCTATTCTTAAGAAGTCTATTTTTTTTATAAGTCCAAACAAACATAAAAAACATTTACAGTCCAGTTCTTCCCTTACCTAAGCAGTAGATTATGGTAAAACCTTAAAACGATATAAGATCCTCCATCAGAGTCAAAATGGCACATTTATCCACCTTCTTAAAGTAATGGTCCAGTGGTGACCAAAACTCGATGCAATATTCCAAGTGTGGCCTTGTATATTTCATAGGATATCCAAAACTGGCACATGGTCATCTGAACATGTGGCAAAGACAGATAATTTTTGAAGGTTACTACATCCACAATCCATAGTGGGAGGAGGAAAGCGGTATTTGGAGGCAGATACACAACCTTCATATTCAGATGGAAATTGTCCAAGTAAGGTGGATGAGTCAAGACATTATCCAAAATGATAATCTTGAAGACAATGTTTTTCTCACAGCAATTATCTCCATATTTTGGGGGTGAAATGGTGAAAAAAAGTCTTCAAGATAAGAAGGGTGACCCAAGCTTTCTTTTTAGCTTCCCACACAAGAAGTGAGATTTTGAGATGTTCTTGAGACCTCACAGAGTCTCAGAATGATAGACTAGCAGCAATTTTAGATCACTGGAAGTGTTGCTCACTTGGCAACATGGTCTGTGTTTTGCAGCTTTGCATCATCATCTCCTCTTCCTTCCTCATGTAAGTTCAGTCTGGCATTTTTTTTTCTAATAAAGTTCCATTTCATCCACACTGAATATTCACTGAGGCAAATAACAATCTTCCTCAATTTCCTTGAGGGATTTTTGGAGCGCCTTGGCTGCATTTTCATCCACACTTGCCCCCTCGCCACTCGCTTTCACATTATGCACAAGCCTTAAAATGCAGGAACCCTCCATGACTTGCAACAAACCTGTTTTCAGCAGAACTTTCACCAGCCTTCTGTTGCAAGTCATGGAATAAGTTCTAAGTCTTCTCCTGGATCAGCATTAAGCTCAGAGGCACACATTACTGTTGCTACCTTCGCTCCACATGCTTAGCAGTTTCTCGATCTCCCGTCACTTTTCCACTCCTCTTGGTTACCGTGGATTGCACAGGCATATGAATCTTTTACATGTTCTATGATCTTCCCTTTGCTCTTAATGATCATTACAGTAATTCATACAGAAAGAACATGTTGCATTCCTTATCTTCTCCCCCCATTCTATTTTCTTCAACAGTTGCCATCTTTGTTGGATTGTCATGGATTGGAGCTGTTTGCATTACTCCTTCCCCATTATCACTCTTAAGTTTAATTCCAAACAATCAGTCACACCAGTCACCAAACCTCTAAACAATGAACAGTAAACAATCAAAAGGAGGCAGGAAAGGATTAATTTAAAGCACCCCGCATACATATGCAATGCATCTGGAACCTTTTAGGTTGGAGCTGCAGGTTTGTTTGTATCACTAAAAATTTGTAACTCAAAAGTTCATAAGTAATGTCCGTAGATTTAACGCTAAATCTGAATTTTCTCATTCAAATGGATCTGTGTATGGCAAATTAGGTCATTGCTCCGCCTGAAGCTCTTTCCACATTCAGAACATTTATACGGTTTCTCCCCAGTATGGATCCTTTTATGGAAAGTAAGGGAACCACTATGACGGAAGCTCTTTCCACAATCTCTGCATTTATATGGTTTCTCCCCTGTGTGAATCCTTTTATGTCTCAATAGGGACCCATTTTCACAGAAGCCCTTTCCACACTCCACACATTTAAATGGCTTCTCCCCTGTGTGGATCCTTTTATGTTTCATAAGGGATGCATTTTCACAGAAGCCTTTTCCACATTCCCCACATTTATACGGCTTTTCCCCCAAATGAATCCTTTTATGGAATGTAAGAGAACCACTATGAATAAAACTCTTTCCACATTCTCTGCATTTATATGGTTTCTCTCCTGTGTGGATCCTTTTATGAGAAGCAAGGTGACTGCTCTGAATAAAAATCTTTCCACACTCCAAGCATTTATATGGCTTCTCCCCTGTGTGGATTCTTTTATGGGAAATAAGTTTACTCTGTTGGCTGAATCCCTTTTCACATTCCACACATTTATATGGTTTTTCCCCTGTGTGGATCCTTCTATGTCTCATAAGGGACCCATTTTCACAGAAACCCTTTCCACACTCTATGCATTTATACGGCTTCTCTCCTGTGTGGATCCTTTTATGTCTCATAAGAGACCCATTTTCACAGAAACCCTTTCCACACTCTATGCATTTATACGGCTTTTCTCCTGTATGGATCCTTTTATGTCTCATAAGAGACCCATTTTCACAGAAGCTCTTTCCACACTCCATACATTTATACGGCTTCTCCCCTGTATGGATCCTTTTATGGGAAGTAAGATGACTGCTATTAGTAAAGCCCTTTCCACACTCTCTGCACGTATATGGCTTCTCCCCTGTGTGGATCCTTTTATGAGAAGTAAAGGAACTCCTTCGACAGAAGCCTTTTCCACATTCAAGACACTTATATGGCTTTTCCCCTGTGTGGATCCAGTTATGGGAAGTTAGTTGACTGCTATTAGTAAAAGATTTTCCACACTTCACACATTTATATGGCTTTTCTCCTGTGTGGATCTTTTTATGAGAAGTATGTTGACTTCTATTAGTAAAGCTCTTTCCACACTCCAAACATTTATATGGCTTCTCCCCTGTGTGGATCCAGTTGTGGGAAATAAGTTGACTGCTATTTGTAAAGTTCTTTCCGCACTCTCTGCATTCGTATGGCTTTTCTCCTGTGTGGATCCTTTTATGAGAAGTAAGATGACTGCTATTTGTAAAGCCCTTTCCACACTCTCTGCATTTGTATGGCTTCTCCCCTGTGTGGATCCTTTTATGGGAAGACAGATGACTGCTCTGAATAAAGCTCTTTCCACACTCCGCACATTTATATGGCTTCTCCCCTGTGTGAATCCTTTTATGTTTCACGAGGGATGCATTTTCACCAAAGCCCTTTCCACACTGTCTGCATTTGTATGGCTTCTCCCCTGTATGGATCCATTTATGAGATGTAAGCGAACGGCTCTCACTGAAACTTTTTCCACATTCCATACACTTATATGGCTTTTCCCCAGTGTGGATCCAGTTATGGGAAGTAACTTGACTGCTTCTTCTGAAGCTCTTTCCACATTCTAAGCATTTATATCGCTTCTCTTCTGTATGGTTCTTTTCACAAGATGTAAGGGATCCATTTTCATGATGAAGGGTGAAAGTCCAATTGTCTCTGGATATATAATCTTCTGTTTCGGTTTCTGTTGAATAGTGTTCGTTTACACCTAACTTGTCTTTCAACAGGTTTACATTTTTCCCAGTATATTTTTTCTTTATTTTTTCTGGCTGAACAAGAAAGTCTTGCATCTGAGCATCAGTGGAAGACAAGCTTTCCAGATTCCAATCATTTTTCTGGTTTCTTTCATGACTTTGTATTTCCATTTCAACTTGAGACTTCTGTGTTTCATCTCCAGCATTGAATACATGAAATGGTTCCTTGGTATCTTTATTCTCTTGCCCATTATTGCCTTCAAAGGAAAAGAGAAATGAAAATGCTAAGTTAGGGGAAAAGATCAAACTGTAGAAGTATTATGAATTTCCTAATGTTATTTTGGCAGATCCCAATATATTATATATTTGTTTATAATTATCCATACATATTTAAATTTCACCCAGAGTCAGCTTTGAGTTAAGAAAGAATCACAGTACACATCTGAGGAGGTATTAGGAAAAAAATCTAATAATTATTGGATGGGTCAATTTCAGCAGAGATCTGTAAGAACTAAATCAGTTTTGAAACAAGTCTTTTTCTTCCCACCCAAACTACCTTCCTTCTACTATTAAATTAAAAATAATTAAAATTTAATTAAAATTAATTAAATTAATTTACCAAATTAAAAAACTTGTATTTTAGTGATTTACCTTTAACAATGAAAAGAAGATATTAACCAAAAATATGAAACAGAAAATCAAATAGAATTGATGGGAAAAACTGGCATTAAGATTGAGAACAAACTAAAATATTTGACTGTTACTATAACCAATAGGAACTCTATGTTATTTCAAAATAATTGTGTTAAGACTTGGAAAGAAATAAAGCATAAGTGAAGATAGGAGAAATTAAAATTGTCCTTGTTGGAAAATATTCCTGTGATAAAAATGAATTTGTGGCTTAGAATGACGTTTGTGTTTCAAGCAATGCCTTTTTTGAAAAGCGATGTAGCATTTCAGTAATGGCAGGACAAAAGGTCTAGGTTTGTATGGGAAGGGAAAAACTACATATTGAATACCAAATTCTCCAAGATGCAGACGAAACAGGAGAATTGGTCTACCCAATTTGAAACTGTACTTTGCAGCCTGCTGTTTGGTTTGTGAATTTATGAAACAGGATGGCTAAATCAAATTCTTTGATCTGAGAAAGGACAATATCTACATTTATTAGTGATTGAAAACCCCTACTGGACTTTTTGCTGAAAAAAGAAAAAAAAATCATTTTGAAGATTACAAAGGATAAATTTTGGAAAGGAAATGATGATGTAACCTTAAGAGACAAAGGCTATAATTGCATTTATAACCACTATTAAGAAGAATGGAAGCCACTTTATTATTTTTTCATATTTTTTTCTTTTTTCTTTTTTCCTTTTCCTTTCTTCCTTGATTTTTTTTCTTATTCACTTATTACTTTATCTTCTTTATTTCTGCTTCAGTATTTGCATAGTTTTTATTCTGATATTTTTTAATAAAATTAGAAAAATAAAGAAGTAGCTGCTGGCATCTAACTATAGAATGTCTTTCTGAACACTGTATTCGGGAGAAGTAAACCCCTTACCCAGAGAGGCCACGTTCCTATGATTTTCCAGCATGACTTCAGAATGGAGCGCTTTTTGGTCAGGATCCAACTGAGACCACTCCTCCTTGGAGAAATACACAGCTACCTCCTCGAAGGACACAAGACCCTCCTGAATAAGGAAAAAAACAGAATAGGCCAAGGAGGATATGCAGGATCTGTCCCATTGTTCACAAACTCCCACAGCAAAGATATGCACTAGGTTAAATGGCTGTGCTTGGTAGGATTCTAAAGTAGTGTTGGGAAAGAGGACAGAGCCAAAAGGCAGTGACTGAAGAAATATATTTGGCAGGTTTTATCAACTTAATTGATTCTGGCACACAATGAAAGTAATGCCACTTGCTGTCTGTCTGTCTGTCTGTCTGAGAAGCAACCTAGAACTCAGAAGAAATTTCCTGACAGTTAGAACAATTAATCAGTGGAACAACTTGCCTCCAGAAGTTGTGAATGCCAGAAACACTGGAAGTTTTAAAGTTTTTAAAGAGATTGGACCACCATTTGTCTGAAGTGGTATAGGGTTTCCTGCCTAAGCAGGAACAACTCTGTTGTTCTGTTCTGTTCTCTCTCCCTCTCTCTCCCCCCTCCCTCCCTCCCCCCCCCTCTCTCTCTATATATATAAAATCTATCTATCTATCATCTATCTATCTATCGATCAATCAATCAATCAATCAATCACTCTTATTATCCACCCATACATCCATCCATCCCTCATCAAAGATTTTGAAGATCCAAGAGACTTGCAGATGGGCCTTGGAAACACCATCTATCACTGACTCCAATCCTTCCTGTTTTTCCAGAAGGAAATGGGGGGGGGGAGGTGAATTCTTTCTAGCATTGCTGGTGTCAACTTGAATCTTCTATTCTCCTTTCCATGCTCAAGAACAAGAAAATATCCAAGCCAAAAGAAAAGGGAATAATGGAAGGAGAGAATGCTATGTACACCAGTGTGACTTCCTAAAAGAAAGGGAGAATACAAATTTCATAAATTATTTTCCTGCTCTTACTTCAGTTGGAGGTTCAACCACTGTTTCAGCTCCACCAGAAAAATCAGAAAATTTCATTTTATGTTTCTCTGTGAGGAAGACAAAATATTGAAATGCACAATTAATAAAATAGTAGTAGGTATTCTACAGAAGACAAAAAGAAGATAAGATAGCAGGGATCTCTCTGCGGAATTGGAGACCATTACCTTTTGAGGTATCCTGATTTGGATCTTCCTCAGGGTTCCTCCTGAAAAGCAGCTCCTGATGGGGATTTGATGATCCCTCAGGATCTCCAATCTCCACAGCGACGGACATCAAATAGGAGGAAGGAGAAAAGAAGAATTAACTGACATCAAACAGCATGAAGTGGATTCTTGTCCTTTGAACACAATATCAAAGCTCCAATATCCATCAGTCAGGCTAAGGGAGAAATGAATGGAACAATGTCCTACAACAGTGGTGGAGAACCTATGGCATGGGTGCCAGAGGCGGCACTCAGAGCCCTCTCTGTGGGCATGCACACCGTCGCCCCAGTCCTAGGCCTTCAGCTGGCTTTTATAAAATCTTTTCGCTTTAGGCCTCTGCCGCCATGTACACAAAAAAAGGTTCAATCAATCAGTCAATTTCAACTTCTCACAGGAAAAGATCTTGCAAAATTGGAATTGATTGATTGACCTTTTTAGTCCCACCCAGTCTGCTGTTACCACCGCGGCCACACCCACCCAATGGGCCACACCCACCCGGCACCCAACAATGCATAAGTGAGTTTTGGGTTGCAGTTTGGGCACTTAGTCTCTAAAAGGTTCGCCATCACTGTCCTACAAGAATTAATAAAATATCAATATCAATATTGTTGTAATATATTAATCAGCATTCAACTAGGGAGGACAATATGTGTATATGTGTTAGTCTTTTAATGCATTTTTTTCTTTTTAAGATCTTATTCTGGTTTTTTTCTTTCAAAAAAGAATTGGTGATTTGAATTTTATATTTTTTTGAATAAAATAAAAAAGGATTAAAAAAAGAATTAGTAAAATGCCTCCACAAGTAGTCTGAATGCTAGAGAAGTCTGGGAGGGAGGGGTGAACAATTCAAACCCATTCTTTATTCCCTTCTGGAGTCCGGAGACAAAGGTCTCTCACCTGCAATTTGACCTGCTCCTTCTGCTCCTCTGCCTGGCTCAGGAGGAAGCCTTCTGCCAAGGCCACTGCTTGGCAGCTTGTTTCTGCTCCACATTCCTGTACCCAGCTCTCCATTTCTGGGGGCAGAAGGGCCAGGAGCTGCTCCAGAACAACCAGGTCCAGCATCTGGGCTTTGGTGTGGTTTTCTGGTCTCAACCATCGCCTACAAAAGTCGTGGAGTTGGCCGCAAAGTCCTCGGGGACCGCCAGCCACCTGGTACTGGAGGCTCCTGAAGTTCCAGGGTTGAATTTCTGAAGAGATGATGGTTTCCTCCTGGAGGATCTTCTGTCCAGTTCTTGCCCAAATCTCCCCACAACTCCCAGACTGAACAGAAGAGCCTTTTCTAGTTCTTTCACTTGCTAAAAGTTGCGTCTCCATTCTGTCTGTGTCCTCTAACGTAACTCTAAATCTGTCCAAGGGTTGTTGCGGATCTCCAAATGCCTTTTCAATTATAGGACCGATCCTATAGCCACCGGAATGGTGTGAGCGTGGTGCGCTATTTTTCCTTACAAGAAAGGACTTTCTTTTAAAAACCTAGATCTGTATTTACCTCCAAGCAAGGTTCACACAACCTGTCAAACCCCCGAAAAGTGAACAAACCAGGAAAGCTCGGTTCCCATCCAATGAAATGCCAGGAAATGACCCTGGCTGAGGATGCCTCCTTTTCCTTCTTCTGGGTGGCCTTTGGACCGTCGAGTCTCCCTCTGACACGCAGGCAGGTTCACACAATCCTGCTTCGCCCAGCTTCTCTCCTCTCCTGATGGGCCTCTCCCCACTCGGGCTCTTCCCAGGACAAGGAGCGGGAAGACCCCCACCCCCAATCCCCACCGCTTTCCCGGGATCCCCGGTTCTTCTGCTGCTGCTGCTCTGGAGCTCCACTTCCCCCCTGCATGGAGAGGGCGGCTGGGGAACATGGGATCCGGGATTGGACCCGGAGGAGGGCCGGGGCCGGGTCTCCCCCTCCCCCGCTTCTTTGCACGGAAGATCCCCCACCCTCACCGCGGCACGTCTGGAACTCTTCCCCCGCGAGACGCTCCCGCAACCTCTTCGCCTCTTGCGGAGCTCCAAGGGTTAAGGCAAGCGAGTGCGGCTTCCTA